AGGAGACAGCTAAAGACCAAACCCCAACAAAGAGCAACTAACTTTGAGAATTCAAGGAAAAGAAACAAGAATATATTTTTTGTTGCTTTATCGGTTCTTTTTGCTTAAAAGTTAGACTTTAAAAGTCAAATCGGACATTTGATGCAATTTTACTTTTGAGTCAAGCTAACTAATGTTTATTTTCGAATCTCATTCTTATATTTTGTTTTAGAGTTTTGACAGGTGAATAACACAAGCATGGGTGATACCAAAGAAATCAAAGCATGTTTCTACACTTGCAGGTCCATGTTCCTTTTTAATACTTATACACTCTTCCTCAATTAGGTATTACAATTGTTATCTTTTTAATTATCTGCATGTTTCATGACAGCTACATGGCAAGAACTGTAATTCCTCTACCTATGGAAATGACTCTTCATTCAACAAGGATCAGATGTTGACATCAAGGGTTCACACTGTACTCTTTAGTAAGGTATGTCTTGCTCTGGTGTTCTTTCTTTATTGTTGATCGTATACTAGATACTAATGATGATGAAACCAATAATAAAGCAGTTACAGGTTGGGTAGAAGTAAATAATCCATGAACTAATGATGATGAAATTGATAATAATGAAATGACATAAATTTGCAATTGAGTCCCGTTTCACGGGATAAACAAGGTTGTCAACAAGAAGAATATGTGATGTTGTATATTGAAAGAATTCTCCAAAATATAAGTCCATAGTTCCCATCAGGTTAATATTATTGTAAAAGTGATTTATATTGACTTTTTAGAATCACCTCATTACGTAGATTCATCCAGAGAAAGTTGCCATGCAAGGGAAGAAAATGGTGTACAAGTTAAAATGGAAGTATGGAAGTATACTGGAATTTTGATTGTGATTAAAATACAGGTTTGTGCATATAAATTGTCTGAACACCATTGAAATTTGAAAGGAGTTCGTTAATTATAGTTTGAAATGAAAGAGTCCATTTGCTTGATATTTTTGTGATTTTTACGGAAATAATCAATATTTTCATTTTCAAATTGAAATCCAAAATGAAGTAATTATTCATTTATTTGGAATATAATCTATGTTATTTGCTCAAAACAACAATGTACATATATTTTTAATAATAAACAATATTTTTTTAACCTATGATTTATTTTGTTTGTTTTATTCACTCTATTCAATTTTGTATTGTATTGTACAAAAATCATGATCTTATCAAATATCTACATATAAAGAACGTCAATACATTCAAACCAATTTACATATTAATTTGACCTAATTATTATAAACTTACAGACAAAATATTTAACTTTGTATATTAATAATTTTTTTTACAAATCATTAATTAATCATTACATTTTTAAATTATCAATAGTGTTTTTGTTTTTCAACCGTGGTATCTACGGGTTGTCACCTAGCCGGCTGACATGAGTTCCTATTGTGGTTTTTCTATTATTGATTGTGTTTTATTACATTCTATTCAAATTTATATTATATTCTTTAAAATTATAATTATATTTAATGTTTTCACATACATAACGTATATTGGAAATCAAATAAATATATATGAGTTTTAAATAATCAATATAAAAATATAAACAAAACTTATATTTTATTAATTTAATAAAATTTTATAAATCTTTTATCCGTGGTTTCCGCGGGTTGTAACCTATTATAGTTATATATCTCACCTTAACCTTAACGGTTCACCCCCTCCACTTCCCATAACACATGGGTGGTGTGGTGTTTGTTCCCATTATTTTTACAAAAATCAATGTATTTTATAAATCTATTTGAGATGTTTTAAAAAGAAAAAAAATAATTGAAGTTATAAAACAAATCTTAAAAACAAGCATAGCAACAAATGTGTATAAAGATATGTAAAAATGAGTGGTAAATGGAATCTGGTCTATTTATAAAAGAAATAAAATTAATAACAATTTCATGAAAATTAAAAACAAAATTTTTGATCAAAAATTATAGAAAAAAATGAGAAAAAAAAAATCTATAAACTTGTTATAACAAGTTACCGTAGCCAATCTGAAAGAACTTTCTTAATCGGTTATTTCTCGGAATATTGAAATATACTATAAAGTAATATTATAGATATATTGAAAAATAACTGATCGATTATAAATATATTACATCTTGTGTGTACGTCAATTTTTCTTAAATTCTTTCGGTGCCTCTTTTTTAGCGACTCATAGGATTCTTTTATCTCAAATTTGCTTCCATATTTCCAACTAAAACGCACTTTTACCTGCAAACTTTCGGCTTTTTCAGTTACCTTTTGACATTTCCTCCGAGCACTCTTTAACATTTGATTTTGAAGGGTAAATCACAAAATAATAATAATAATAATAATAATAATAATAATAATAAGAAAAAACATCATAAAGGGTCCCTGTGATTTCCTAAAATCTGAAGTTTAGTACCCGTGGTTTAGAAAGATCATAGCTGGTCCCGGTGCTTTCAAAACTTTTGACGATTGGTCCTTATTACTAACTCTGTTAAGTTTTGTCCGTTAATTGAATGACATTTTCGTCATTTCACTACCACAGGGACCATTTATGATGTTGGATCATATTTCTTTTAAAAAAAAGAAAAATCAAATATAATTATTTAACCACCTAGTAGCACAGCCCCTGTTCAACATCACTTTCAAACCACCATTCTCCACCTCCCTGTTTTGCTCGCCACCATGGCAGCAATCAGAACCCTCAAGCCAGCAAACCCAAATACCCACTGCTAACCCTCACCTACCGACCGCATTCCCTTGAAATCGATCACCCTCAAGTCTCATTGCCCCGTAAACACCACTCTACCTCCCTCTTTTTATCGAATTTACTCATTCTTCTCCTAATTTGACTGCTGATGCTGCTGCAGTTTTGCCTAGGATTTTGATTTGGCTATGCTTCATTTGGAATATTTTGTTGCGAATTTGATTTGGTATTACCATTGGAGTCTTCCTAATGGTAATTGTGTTGATCTCTTAGAGAAGTTGGAGTTTAGTAATCATGAAGATCCCCCAGACAACACAAATCTCTTCTTGGGTTGAGAAATGAACCATGAATCCAGTTGGAAGATGGGTTATATAGGGCTTTTATTGATTGCATCCGGAAAACAAAGGTGTTGATCACCTCTCTTCTACTCCAATTTCAGAATCAGTTCACAATCGTCATGAAGAACCTCTTTCCTGTTCCTTCTTTTCTTTTCCTCCGCTCCCTCACCATTTCCCAGCCAACTACTCGTTTCCTCCTTGATAGACTCTCCCTTTTTACTCACCTCCTGAGTTTCCTACATTATCTCCATCAACCAGTGATGGTGTGATGGTGGCAGGTACGAATTTTAGTGATAAAGCATGGGTGTAAGTGTGCGTCGATGGTCGTGTTTAGGGTTGTAGTCATCGACAGTTTTATTTGAGATTATCTTGCTTAACCTCGAGTCGTTGACCATTTTTCTTCATCATCCATGGCGATCTTCAAGTTTCTTAAAGCTAATTCAAAGAAAGGCCTCTTTGGATCTTTCAGTTGTAATAGAGAGGAAAAGGAGCAGCGATTAGCGCCTGGTAGCAAACCTTGATGGAGAAGACGAAGAAGGTGGGTTTCATTTTTGGAGGATTAGGTGGTAGATGAAGCTTCAAAGGTTAGGGATCATGATTGGTTAGAGATTGTTGCATCCAAAGGAAGAAAGGAAGTGGAGCGGGACAGAGAGAGAGTTTATTTTTTCTTTTAAAAAAAATAAGAGAAAACATCATAAATGGTTCATGTGGTAGTGAAATGACGAAAATGTCATTCAGTTAACGGACAAAACTTAACGGAGTTAGCAATAAGGACCAATCGTCAAAAGTTTTGAAAACACAGGGACCATCTATAATGTTTTTAAACCATAGGGACTAAACTTCAGATTTTGGGAAACCATAGGGACCATTGATGATGTTTTTTCTAATAATAATAATAATAATAATAATAATAATAATATAAAATATGGCTATATTCATTTTAAAGATCCAAATGTCAAATTGTATGTGAAGACCTATTTTTTATGTGCGGACTTGGTTGCCTATTTTGTATAAAAAGACTTGGTTACCTATTAGTAAGACTAATCGAAATGAGAACCAACGGTTTTGGAATGTTGGAACCAGAATCGGAACCGATTGCATCGGTTCTTAAGATCTTGAAATTGGTTCGGTTCCAGGTATCCGGATTCTAAGTGTTTTTTTTTTTGGATGTTATTGTTATATTGTCATTAAGATTTAGGAACATTAACCGATTGTATATATTTTGTAAAAGACAAATGAACTGAAAAATGAAAATTTGAATCTCTCAATACCTCTATTTATAACAGAGATGGCATGATCTAAATGTAATTAATTTTAAAAAAAAAATAAGTTCTTTTCCTTTTAAACTGTGGCCATCGAAGTAAGTCACTAGCTCAAAACAATGCTTTTAAGTTTTATATTGCAACAAATGTTTTTAAGTTTCATATTGTATGGACATATAAAATGTATGTGAAACATAATGTATTGTATACTTTGTTTAAAATTTAGAAATATACTTATAGTTAACATTTTAATATTTAAAATTTAATTTTATATATACTTTTAAGATAGCAGTTCCAAAATGTCAAGAATCAGAACCGGTCTTTATCAGTTCTAAAGTTTAGGAACCAAAATATTAACTGGTTATATCGGTTCCGGTTCCAAAGTTGTTGAATCCAGTTTCAAAAACGGATAATTGATGCTCACCCTACCGGGTCTTTAACTCATGCCCGAGTGACAAGGAAAATATGGATATTTTTTATTTATTTTAAATGCTAATATGAAAAGTACTAGAAATTTTAAAAATTCCAATTTTGTAATAATGATGTTTTGTTTACAATCATGCTTTAAAAAGTATTATATATAGAGTTATCACTTTCTAATAACATGGTAACTATTTACCCTCACGGTTCTTTGTTTCACAATATAAAAACCACATGTTAGTGATTTCTTGAAACAAATTGCATATGGGTTCTCAAAACTTTCTCTCTGTGGTGGCCAAGAATATCGATGTCCTTATTGGGTAATTTCTTTGTGTTTTTCTATTTATTTTTTCTATTTATATTATTTATAATAGTAATGAAAAATTTTGTTATATTCATCTTCAAACAAATATTATAATTGAAAATCCAAACAACTTCATTTATGTAAATTACAACGGTTCTTGAAAGTTTTATATCAAATCTCAAACATATCATATCATGTTGAAACTAAAGATTTCATATTTTTAAAAGGGGTATGTGATAGGTAAAATATTGAGAATCAACTACAATGTTTTTTATAATTAGAGTAAGTTGTTTTTTTTAATCAATACTAAAAGCCATTTTTAATCTGTTTTTCTTGAGTTTTTTGTTTGTATAAGTAATTCTGTTATTTTTTATTTTTTACTCATTTATTATATTTAACTTTTAACTTTTATTATTTTTGCTTAATCATATTTTTGTTTTAATCTCCAATATTAAATATTAAACTTTAAACATGTAATAGCCATATGAAAAAAAAATTATTCCTGTGTAAATATATAGGTATGTTGTGCAACGGGATGAAAGTACCAAATACACACTCTAGATTTAGTTGTATTTATTTTAATTTCATGCATTGTAATATACTGATTTTTTTAATGTTATCATTAACTCGTTTTAATTTTATAACATATGCTTTAAAAACAACAAATTAGATGAAGGAGTTCTTTAAGTTATTTCAGGAATATGAGGTAAATTAGTTAATATCCTAGAATTCTAGAAACCTTGATCATTACTTGTTTATGCACTCAAATATTAGCTCCTTTACATTTACATTTTACATTTTATTTTTTTACTGATCTTTTTACTTCGTTTATTGTTTGTGTTGCAGGCCAGTGATTGCTCTTGTTTACCCTTTGTAAGCGGAACTTTTTTGCTTTAAAATCCATTTGCATGATTTGTAGTTGATTCAATAATTATGTAGTTTAAGTGCATTTTTTTCTTATATTTTTAACAACATTTTTCTTGACAGAGTTAAATCATTCACTAAACGATTATTGCAAAAATACCAAAACTTCTAGATTTTAAGCATAAACAATTTTAACAGATTTTGTATGAATAAATGTAAAGGTCATCCATTCTATGATCATTAAATTGTAGTATTTTTATTTTTATTTTTATTTTAAGAGTTCATTTTACGGATGTGCGAAACTTGATCTAGTTATTTCTTTTCTTTTTGTCATATTGTCACAAAAATCATGTCTTTTTTTGTATTTAGATTTTGAAGGGTTGTGTTTTATTCTTGACCAGATATGCTTCAATCAAAGCTATAGAGACCAGGTCTCAAACAGATGATCAACAATGGCTAACTTATTGGGTTCTTTACTCATTAATCACTCTCTTTGAACTTACATTCTCAAAGCCACTTGAATGGTAATTATTAAACCTTATTTTTCACTAAAATGTTTCCCCTAATATTAACAAGATTGTTCATGATTCAGGTTCCCAATATGGCCATATGCTAGGCTATTTGCCACATGTTGGTTAGTACTTCCTTATTTCAATGGAGCTGCTTATGTCTATAAGCATTTCATCAGACCATTTTACAGAAATCCACAAGTTAAAATATGGTATTTACCGCGAAAGAAAGGCATTTTCAGTAAACCGGATGATATTTTAACCGCTGCAGAGAAATATATAGCAGAAAATGGACCTGAAGAGTTCCAAAGGCTTATAAGTAGGGTGAGTTTACATCTATATTATTCACTGTTCTTGTCTTGACATACATGATACATTTTAGAAGGCCAAAATCTCTTGTCACTACTTTGGAACGGAGTAAAAAGAACGGGAGAAACGTTGGGGCAAATTTTCTACTCGATTGTTCTTCAAATGGAAAGGACGTATTTAAAGCAACTAACCACTAATCTCATCGAAAAAACATGAAAATATGACCCACGTGACATTTATTTGGTCATACCCAAAATTAAAGAAAAAACAAATATATTTCGCTCTAAAAAGTCTTGGATTATTCCAACATGCATGTCCTTACGCATGAAGTATAACAACTTTCTGGTTTTAATTTGTAGGCTGATAGAGAAGCAAGATCACGGAGGGGAGGTTATACTATTGTTGATGATAATTATGGGTATTGAGCTTTATCTTGTGTTTTCGATCTAGTAAAAAAAAAACTCAATTGCGAAATTTATGTCGCAAAAGCTTAGATGTCTTCTTAAATTGAGCTTTCTTATTGAGTTGAATGTTATGAAGTTATTATAAATGTTTTTAACTTCCTATGAATTTTTTATTTTTTTTTATCGTTTGTTGATATTCAAACTCACATGATGATGGTTTAATTTTCTGAGAAAAACTATCCAAACACTTATATGAATCTCCCGTTGGCTGTGTTTGACGCGTCACAGCTAGCTGATAAGCTAGTTTATTTTTCGAACTTTTTTATTTTGTCGTATTTGGCAAACCAAAAAGTAGCTTATAAGCTAGCTTTTTAAAAAGCTACTTAGACTAGCTTTTTAGAAGTTTTTTTTAAAATTTTCCAAATATACCCCTTAATTAATTATAGAAACACATTCTCTTAAATGCCTTTTTATGTAATTTTATATATTTTAGCTAGTTTTTTCAGCTAGTTTTACCAAACATCATTTTTTATCAGCTAGCTTTTCAGCTATCAGCTAGCTTTTATTTAACAATTAGTTTTTCAACTAGTACGCCAAACATAGCCTAAGTCACCTTTTTATGGGCACGGTGTTCTTATCTCTTTCAAATCTCCTAATACAATCCCCATCTTCCATTTTAAAATTGATTATATCTATTTGTACCACTGGACTCCTATCATCCCGAGCACCACACTTTTGAGTCCACATTTTCAAATTTGTTTTCCTCAACTCTTTTGGATCATGTTCAACTGTCTACCATAAACTCACTACCTACATGCAATACATTACCTCACCATATCATTGTTGTATTCTACAATCAAATACAAAATACTTAGACGAGGCAAGACACATTCCCTCTTATCTTCATGATTTTCACTGTTACACCACTCTTATCTCATTATGAACCTACTTCCAACAAGGAAGCTGCTTCTAACCATATGTCATATAATGATATTATTTAAACACAACAAGCATTAGTAATGAAACCTTAGACTTGGTAAATTGTCCCTTTTGTATCCAAGAAAGGCTCTTTATTATTTCTAAATGTGTGTATACACTAGTGAAGACGATGGTCGTTGGTATCACTGTAATATATAAAAAAGGTATTGTTATAAATGATTCAATCAAGAATATGATATTCGTTAACAATAAACTTTTTTTCAAGTTCCTCATCGATTTTGTTTACATCTTGCTTGTAATACCCATGTTTTGTGGACATGGGGTTTGGATGCTATTAAGAAGTATTAGACATATATGTTGTTTCTAGTTAAGGCATGTTGAGACATAAAGTATGTTGCATTGATGGAAATACATTACCTCAATAAGATATGTGAGAAGTTGTAACACCCCTCGTATGGGGTCAAATGAAAGATATATTAGTTTTAAGAAAACGTTAATTCTTTTGATACAAGAAGTTTTTAAACTTTTTTTCAAAACATTTTTCATTCCAATACTTATTGAGTCATTTAACAATACGAGGGATATAATAAGGTTCAAAACCTAGTTTCAAAATGAACTCCCAAATAGACTTATTGGTTCTTCTCTCATGCTCTTCTTCTATCATCACTACTCTACACCTAACACATCAAAAGCGTAATTCATTACGCAACCAAAATCCTAGTGAATAATTTATATTAAAACAATAAACAGTAACCCCCTTAAGTGTCCTTTTGAATTACACTTTACAAACTCTCTTTTCTTTAGATTCTTTAAACGGTACAATCTACACATTGGTTAGTATTTAATAAAGACTTCCCATCAAAATGGGTATGTCGACACGAAGACTTAACTTGAGCGATCACAAATAAGCAAGTACCCTTTTCTAATCTACGAATGACCAATCCATAGTGTCATTTCTTTATGCATTCGACAATGCAATGACAGACAGAAATGTCACACTCCTTGAAGATCATGTGTAACATCCCGTCGATAAGGTACTTCTAATTTTAACCCTTATGCTTTTATTATTTTGTAAATTGGACCATAGGGCCATGAATGTGTTCAATTAAGCCATAGTGGCACTTCCATAATTTTGAGGCTATGGGAGTACGCCATGCGTACGTAAGTACGCTGGGAGTACGTGGCCAGATCCCAAACCCTAGTTTTAAGGGTTTTGCACATATTTAAGCAACATTAAGCGTCATTTCTCTTCTCATTTCCAGCCTCCATCATCATACTCGTGTTCTCTTGCAAACCCTAGCCTCATTAAAGTACTTGGAAGATTTAGTGTGAGTTTTGTGTATTCCAAAGGAAGAGGAATGTGGTGGTGAAGTTTGGAAGCTAGAAGCAAGCTTGGATCTGGAAGTTTTGCATCCTTCTCCATCATTAGAAGGTATAAAGTTCAAACCTTGATGGCTAGTTCACTAGATCTTGCTTATGTGTTGATTTTATGTCCTTTTTGGTCCCAAATTGTTAATATCGAACATTGCATGTTCTTGACTCATTAAGTTGTACTTTCAATCTCTAGTAGTGGGGTTAAGTCATAAAATGGAGCTTTAATGGCTAGTTTTATCTCGTGCATGTTAATAGGAGTCTTAAGGCATTAAGGTGTCGGGTCTTTATAGATTAAGAACTTTTTGTGCATACAAGGTCATAAAGTTTCCAACTATATGACTCCTTATAGCATTAGGACCTTTGATCTGCAATTGGGTGCATTAAGTCATTACAATAAGCTCTTAATGAAGGAATCATGTTTCTGGGGTTACGCCCCACATACTTGGGAGTACGGCCAGCGTATGCGATAAAGGGTCCCGATGAGGTCAAGGAGGAGTACGCCCAACATACCTCTAGTGTACGGCCCACGTACTTGCTCTGGGTCGACTCAGCTAAGTTGACTCGGCTGGGTTGACTCGGTGATTTGACCAGTTTGACTTTGACCTTGACCTAGTTTGAACAGGTTTGACCTTAAGGGTATTTTGGGTATTCTGGATTACGACTAAGAATTGGTTATTGTGATGATTAGGTGTCATATTGAGTTGAGATTCGGAGTTAGTACCTCAGCAGCTAGTGTTCAGTCTGAGGTGAGTTTTCCTCACTGTATCCGCGGGTCGAAGGCACCAATGTCGGCCCATTCTGTTATGTATCCTGATATGTAGGGTGTTAGCATGCAGTAGTGATATGTGGATCTGTTATCTGTTTACCTGTTGCATGGTTATTTATTTATTTGTTATGCACATGTCGACATGCTATGGTGTATGGTGAGACTGGACTGCTTTGTGCATCAGTCAACAGACCAGGGGTATTCCAGCCCGAGGCTGATTGGATGCGATATGTTGGTATTCCAGCCCGAGGCTGATTGGGCCAACATGCTTATGATATGAGGGTATTCCATCCCGAGGATGACTGGACCCATCGTGGACATGCCTGGTATTCCAGCCTGAGGCTGATTGTGCCAGGCATGAGTGCTTGTATATGTGCTTTGTTTTGTGGTGGTATTTTGGGGGAACTCACTAAGTTTTGGCTTATAGTTTTAGTTTATTGTTTCAGGTACTACGGATGATCGTGGAAAGGTGAAGGCGTGACCATGCACATCCTCTTATTTATGGGTTTTTTATGATTTTGGAATACTCTGATATTATATAAACATTTTGAAACAATGGTTTTGTAAACAGTTTTATACTTGTGGGTTGGTTTGAAAAGTTTAAAATTGTTGTGATTTTCGCTAGTGTTACAAGTTAATATCAGAGCCTTGGTTTGAGTGAATTGGAGGAACACTTGTGTAAATCCAGTCTCAAACTAAGGAGAAAGATTTTAAAAATAATTTTTAAATTGTTTCAAAATAATCGAAGAGGATGCGATGTGTACGATCAACCGGAGCCAGTAAGTAGACCCAAAATTACCACACTGTTAATTGATCTTGTGATATGATAGAACAACATGCTAGTTATAGGCTAGGGATCTTCAGGAATTGCATAATAGAATTGTCTGATTATATGATGCCTGATAGCCTAAGGTTCTTCCTTATATGAAATTGACATCATTATTGTAGTTGCTTAGTGTATGCATCATAGTTATACATAACTAAGATTCTATAGCCATAGAATGTTTGGTTTGGCCTTATTTCCTGTTCTTGTTTGATGAAGGGCTTAGGGTAGGATCAGATTTTCGACTGTCTATAAGGTCCAGTGTTATGTATGATCAGCATACACGAGTATTGCAAGGTTGGTGGAAGTTTCATGGATGTGTTGTGTGGGGTCAGCGGCCAGTTTCGTAATATTTAGCCTTCCTCTAGGGAGTGATGATTGAGTGTATGTGTATGCTAGTGTGTATTGTTAGGGTTATTGTGATGATCCTCTGAGACAAATACAAGTAGGTGTGGAAGGTAGTATGGGCCCATACTACTGAAAGCACAGGCCTCGTACGCATAACAGGGAAGTCACAACCCCTAGGGCTTTGTTGGTAGTTGATTCCCTGGTAAGATAAGTGTTTAATATGTGGTCTTCTTGGTTTATTTTCAATATGCTGATGACGAGACAATTTGAGGCAGGATCCGGGTCAGGATCGGGAGCAGGTGGCCAGGATAAGCCAGTAGTGACTGAGGACCGTATCAGGGAGATTATCCATGAGGAGGTTGTGGCCATTGTCTGGGGGAAGATACCGGAGCTATTTGGTTCTATCAAGACCGTGATGATGGAGTTCTTTGATGACAGATACGATTCCCTTGTTGAGACTGTTGCTGATGTAGCCATCGCAGCCGTCGCCGTTGTGGGGGTTGGTGTTGGGAGGGCTTTTCAGTACTGGGACTTCGATAATATGAAGCCCCCAGAGTTTTATGGAGTTCAGGATCCGATTATATCCATGAGGTGGCTATCTGACATTGAGGGGTAATTTTTCACTTGTTCTTTCCCAGCTGACCAAAAGGTAAAATGCGCTCTAAATTTGCTACGGTCCGGAGCAAAGGATTGGTGGAGGCTTGTTACTAGTTCATATTCTGCTGAACAGAGGGCTGCTGTGACTTGGGAGCAGTTCTCTGAGATGTTTCG